TTAAAATTAAAATAAAGATCGTATGTGCAAATACCATATTCGAATTCCATGTGAATGCAAAGACCGTATTACGGTCTTATAATCTAAACTAAGATCATTTTTGAAATAAACATAATCCAAATATCGTACAAACTATAGGACATTCCGCGAAAAGATATTGCATCTCGTTTTTTAATATATTTAAATTTGCTGGTGGTTGATTAAATTAATGGATAACAAAGCTATTATTCTATTGCTTTTTGATCTCATTAATTTCTTCATGTGATTTCATTATTATCTTATTATTCTCATTAATTTCAATATTAAAATACCTCTAATTCGAAAGAACTTAATGTATTATAGCTGCATTCTATTCGTAGCCAAAGGTCCCATTTTCCTGTTATCATTGCTGTTAGCATTTGTTTCGAATAATTCGATTACAAGTGGTTATGGAGCTATTTAACTTTCTTTTCTTGCTTAGAGTAACTTGGTGGATTCTGTGAATTCTGTATTCTACACCAGCGCGATAGTCTGGACTTTGGCTGGGTTATTTAATTAGGATGGAAGACGACGCCTCAGTGGAAAGGGCACTTGAAGTAGTAGTTGATGATAAAAAGCGTGGGAGAAAAATCATATTTCCACTGAAGTGATTAAAGTGAGGAAACATCAACCTCACCTGTCGTATAGGCTTGCAGATGATGTACTAGTGGTGATTACAGAAACTCCACAATGGGTTGTTAAGACAAAGAGCTTTAGGTATTCTTTTTATTGGACTCATACAGATTAGTTTTATCTTTCTCACTATCAGGCTGCCACATTTTATAATGCAATAAAATACATAAAATATGTTTATAATAATTCTCCATAAAGCAAATTGCAAAACAATTGATCTGTGATAACATCAAGACAACGAAGCAGAGGGAGATGGATTTAGACTTAAACATTTTTCAGACAATTAGAATAAAGTTAAAAGTTTTTTGTTGAAAAGAATAAAAGAACAGAAAGATTGGATGTCCAAGCAAAGTGAATAACAAAAGACAATTATCAAGTCATAATATGTCACATTGAAGATGCAATTATCCGTAAGGAAAATTTCGCAACTGTCCTACGCTTTCGACGCTTTTCTAATCTAGTCAAGGTAGATTTTACCAAGATACATTTTATGGAAGGACTCAACACAATTAAATTCTTTTAGAATATGTCTCATAAAGATGATATGATAGATGAATGATATTTGTAACTTTTATAGTGAGTTGGTAGGTGGTTTACTGTTAATAAGAAAAAATGTTTGCAAATGAAGCAGTTGTGATTCTTTCTGTAACTATGAGAAGGATTTGGAAAGTGTTATATATCTGCTTTGCCACGATTTAGCACATGAAGCCTAATAAAAATTAAGCATGCTAAGGACTCTCTAGAGGATCTAACTTAGCTGAAAGATCATCTTAAACATTTCAAGTGTAACATGTTCTATTTGCATTATTTTTAAGTGAACTACACTTCCAGACGCTCATCTTGATCATTTTTAAGGACTTCTTACTAACAATCATTTTTCTTTGGCTTTAAAGCCTTTTTGCATGTTTTTTGGAAATCAAAACTTTATATTTGTTTAAATTTATCTTTAACTATTACTTGCAGTAATACTGGGTTTTCCGCTGTTGGTACGATCTGCATTCATTAGAATTTTTGCTGTCGCTCCATCAAATGCTATACCACCGGAAAAATTTTTCGTTGTATGTGATTGAAGCCTCTGTGCTTAGAGCTGCAGTTTTTAATTTAATTGGAACTTTACTGTGGAAATAGTTTGCAATGGTGTTACATGATTAATTTGCATAATTTAATTCGTGTTCCACTGTTTGCATCTACCATCATGGCACGTGCACAGGGACGCTTGACACCTTGCACTTTTGCGGATACTTAGATACTTAGATTGTGTTAAGTCATCTTTATATACCTTCTAAACAGGAAAAGTAAGTGCCAATTTCAATTAACTCTGTGGGTAAGGGATTAGAACATTTTCGAGGTCTGTCTGTATCAAATCGCTAAAAAAAGACGCGTCTAAAGTTGAGTAGGCAATACACGGCCGGGAGTTTAAATCAATTGAGGTCTGTCCTAACCCAACCTTAGTGGGTGTATCATTATGCCATTGTATTAATTAGTTTTCTTCGATATGGAGTAGTACTTTACAAGCGGATGCCGTACTTTACAATCGGATGCCGTGCTTCCATACAAGGAGAAAACTATATCCGAACGTATAGCTTCAATATGTACTGGCGGAATCTCTTGAACTTTAATGATGGTGTTTATGGTCGCATTATATTGATGCCTGAGTTGAGCATCGTGGAGTTGAAGCTTAATGGCTGGTAAATACCTTTAAAGAATTATGGACTTTGCTAACGCCAATTTGTTTGATGCTGTCCAGTTGTCGAATATGTTCTAAATGACTTGCATAAGTTTTGAAGGAATATTTCTTTGTCAGCTTGTATATTATTTGATCTTGTACCTATTTCTTGCCTGAGCGTAATCTTATGAACGCAATTGTTCTGACGTCAATGCATTCTTGGTGGTGCCCAATCACTTTTCAAATTTCTTACTGTTTTTTAAATTCTATATATGTATGTACATTCGGCTACATGTTATAAAGATGTAACCAATACTTGTTTCTTTATCTTTCAACATGATGAGCCTTCAATAGTAAGCTCCACTTAAGTGCAATGTTGTAAGGATACAACATTGATGTTTTCTTGACTGCCAATGATTATTTCGAATCAGTGATAAATATAATACATACTAACTTATCTGTAAATATCAGTTATTCACTTAAACCACCATCCTTTTGTCAGTGGCTTATTTATCATTGATCTTACTGTGCCTCTAATAAATGTATGAGTTCATCTCTCTTCGCTGTTGGTTCGCCCTATGCAATGAGGTTCCTTTGATTTCTATGCAAAACATTACCCAATGTCTTTTTGCCCCCTTTCATATTACACTGATATAGTATTAGAGAGAAGGCAAGTCATTTTTATGGTTGATAAACCTAAAACATTTAGCAATAAAAGTTTAAATTCTTATAAACAAGTTGCAAAGTAAATGTAAACATAATTAATATACGCAACATTATACATAATAAAACAAGCGAACAGAAAACATTATACGATCTAAAAATACGTAGCATTCGATTTTTGGTTGTACGGTCTACACATATAAAAGGTGGGATTTTATTGTTACGATATCAAAATACGGTCTTAACAGTTAACTGTTGTTATTTTGATTTATTGTTTACATTATTGTGTAGTATTTCATTATTAATAATATTAATTGTATACCCTTCTTTTATATTGCTTACAAATTTTTTTGTTGAGTAGTTGCCATATGAGGGGAAATTGCTTCAAACTCGACTTCTACACTGGCTAGACTATATGTTCCATTGCAAACATGTATTATTTTCGAGATGGCGGCATATAATAGTTTGGTTGTGTAAGCTGGAACAGTGTGCGCCAAAGTATTCACAAAGTCTAGCCAGTGGTGTCGCAGGGCAAGTGCAAAAGATTCAAAAATGTAGTACATGTTGCGCTCCATGTCGTAACTGCAGCGTTTCCCAGCAGATATTTTACATGACGCCAGTTCGATGTCGTGTGTAACAATTTTTGCAATGTAGCAGACAATAGTCGTTGCCAGGTAGTGCACGTGTTCGGTTTGATGTGGTTTGTATCATTCCCAGCGAAACATTGTTTACTTTTTGTTAGAAACGAAACACAAGAAGCATGAACTGCCACTGCCCCGTCTGTTGCCACTGAATTGCGTTTCAAATGTGTTTTGTTGTTATTTTTATTGTCTTTTTTGCGTTTGCGGAGAATTAAGAACAAATATAAATATGTGAGTGAATATTGTGTTTGGGTTATTTTACATAAAAGTTAAAAAAAAAATTCGAAAATTGTCTTCGAAAGCAAACCACAGCAAAGTGTGGAATATGAACTCAAAGCTGCGAAGGAAACCACGGCACACGCTTCGTAATGGGTAAAACCTAATTTTTTTACGAAAAATCCTAGGAAAAATTCTTAAAGGGTAAAGTCTTTTTGCCAAAAAATATCAAGCAAAGCTTAAAAAATTATAAAAAAAAATAATCTGATTTAAAAAAAAATAAAACTTCAGAACTTTTTTTAATAGAAAAAGCAAAAAAATCATTACAAAATATATGTAATATTAAAGAAAAAATTCATTAAAAATATTAAACACAAAAAGGCTTATATTTTTTAATATATGATTCTGAATTTGTATAAAATTTTAAAAACATAGTAAGAAAATAAAAATGAAATTAAAAAACAAAATTATAAATTTAATTAATTTTTTGTAACAAATAATGAAAATTACAAAGAATATTTAAAATCACAAAAATATAGTAAAAGTTAATATAAAAACTGAAATAGCTCATCTATAATACTCATCTATAATATCATGTTTACATAAAATATACAATAATTAAAAAAAATAAGAAAAATAAATAGACGTCCGGCAATTTCCGGAAAAGGTGCTGAGCTTCAATATTCTCTATAAAAAGTGTCCAGCCCAATAAACTAGCACTTAAGTCTCTGTTTGCATCAAAAAAAAATTAAATTAGAAACTATTAAATTACAACAAATAAAAAAAAAAGAAAATAATTTTAAAATAAATTAATTTAAAATTTACAAGTGAGATGTGAAAAAAAAAATTAAAAAAATTAAAAGAATTTTTTAAGAACAAATAGTATTAATTAATACATCTGCTTAATAAATTGCTAAAATAAAATAAAATAAAATAAAATAAAATAAATAAATTCACAAATTTGAATGCAGCAATTAATGTTTTTTTAATAATTTTGATAAACAAAAAGTGTGGGTTAAGGACTCTTTATATAAAATTTCACTCTTCCGTGATAATCTCCAATGGTCAACTGCATGGCAGCAAATAAATATTGAATAAAAATAAACCATAAAATTGTATTTTATAAAAATACAATAATAATTAAAAAAACCATAAAAAAAGTAAAGATAAAGTAAAAATAAATAAACAAAATGCTTGTAAATACAACAACAACAACGACATCTTCATCGGCACCCACGCCGGGCTCATCGTCATCGACCAGCAATACATTGGAACCATCACCGCAAACATTGCCAAGCGCAAATAATTCCCGCCCACCATCACGCGCCCCCTCCATTCTTGATAGTCCAACTCTGGCACGTGTGGAACGTGCACGCCTGAGATTGGAGGCATCAAGCCATCAGCAACTGCATCACCAATACAACAGTTGCGGTATCGGTGGTGGCGGTAGCGGTAGCGGTGGCGGTGGTGGCAGCAATGGAAATAGCATTGCAACAACCATGAATCGTGAAGACAGTCTGGAACGCAGCATATTGGATCCAAAGGTAAGGAAAAGTATAATATTGTTTTTTTAGTGAAATTAGTAAAAATTGATCTGCAAAGTTGAAGGTTAAAAATGAATGCCCAATCCATTAGTTTATGATTTGGAATAGACTATGGAATAGAATGTGGTAAATGATTTGCTTCTAATTTATTTCCTTAAAAAACATAAACATTCCGAAAAAAGAAATAAATAAATTCTCTACTAAATGAATTCCCTAAGAAAATTCCTAAAAGAAAAATGATTATTATGTGAAGAATTATTTAAAATATCAACAATAACAACAATAACAACAACAAAAAGTGAATACAATATTATCAAGAAAGATGCAAAACGGCTCAACATGGCTTAAGAAACACCAAATTATAGCGACAACATGCATAGTGGTTCCAACAGTGGCAGCAGCAGCCATAGCAGCAAAAGCGACATCTAACAACAACAACTACAACAATAGCAAATAAAATAATAACCCAAATAAGCAAATCACTGTGAAGGCAGCAACAACAAAACAAATCAAATCAAAACAATAATAATAACAACAATAACAACAACACAACACCAACTGCAAGCAAGTAGAAGCATATTTGATCTCACAGAAAATGTGTATGTGTACATATTTTGAGAAAAAAATGGAAATTTATTTCTGCTTTATTTTCATATGCACACACATTGCCGCTCGCTGAGGGGTGTAGGTGAGCAAAGCAAAATAATTTGATACTTGCTTTGAACCAAAGCAGCAGTGCCAAAGCAGTTTGGTTTACTGCCGATCACGACTGCGACAAAACAAGAACAAAAACAAAAGCAAAAATCAAAAATAAAACCAAATCAAAGTCACAGTCACAGCCACAGCTACGTCTGTTGTTCTTTCGAGCCTTGATTCAGTTTGGTTTTTCTAGTAAATTCTGAAGAAATGAAATGTTTTTGGAAGAGATCAATTTTGGAGATATTTAATTTGAAGAAAATTTTTTTGTGATTTTATCAAAAATCCAAACTATCCATTTGTCTTCTGACGATACTTTTAGGAAATGCAAATAATTTAAATTATATGCCACAGTTTGTTTTGCATGCAACAATATTCGCCACTACTGTATTCCGCACTATTTTGAGTTGACATCTGCTACCTCTGAGGAATGCTCCTATTCCCTCTGCCCAACACTTGGTGTTTATGGGTTGTGTTGCTATGGGGTTGGCGGTAGGTGATCGGTGGCATATATTGTTGCTTCGCTCTTAGAATTTCCTTATAAATAATTTTAATGTAAAAAATCAAATCAAAAAGTTTATTTTAACCTATTTTTAATCAGAATCAGTTAAAGTCAAAGAAGACTTGCTCGCTCCTCTTATTTTTGACTTGTAGTCTTGCCTTTGCTGAATACTAATTGAAGGACAAAAAATCGGAATTTCTCAATAATTCTTTTTTATTTTTCTTCTATCTTTCTTTCGTTGTAAGCAATGTGAACGGGGCGTCACTAGAGATATAAACTCCATGTATATGGTATTACTCTATCAAACCGATGTCGTCGACGTTTCTTTGCAGTTCGAATGTGTGGACTGTGCGTAGTAAAAACAACAAAGAGGGGATGTCCGAAGCTTGTATGTAAAACGTACAACAAATAAGAGATACCTCAATTATATTCATAATAGTTAAGTTAACTAAACTTTTCTAATGTAAGACCTCAGTCGAACTGTATTGGCTGCAGCCTGCAAATACGCTCTTTGTAGGTTCATTTAATTGATAATAAATTGCAGGGCACTGAAGGAATTGCAGTTCTCGAAGAGTTTAGTTAACTCGAACACTAATGATAATGTAGCTGAGTGAAAAGGAAAAAAATTCGGAACGTCTCATCTCATATAACCCAATTGCACAATTAGTTGGATACTAGTGAAAGGTGAAGAATAAGCAATTTATTTTTCCCTACCAAGTCATCCTTATTTTTATTTAAATAAACAATATTTAACCGAATTAAATACTGATTTCTTTTATATCTATATATTCCGTATAAGTTTATATATATAGATATATACTATATTGCGACGCCGTTACCAATATTATTTATTTATTACTATTTGAGCCAGTGCACTTGCTCTTTCTTAACTCGAGGTATTTTTGCAACCTAATATGTTCCTTACCTTTTGTTTTCTAGATTTTTGGATTATGTCGTATTTAACTGAATCGTACTTCTATAATCGACTGAAGTGCTATATAAGAGTACTTATCTAAATTGTAGGTGAGAAGTAATATAAATGTATTTATATTCCAATGTGGGTGATTACGAGATGTGCTATTAAATGTTAATATTGATATATGACAGAATTAGAGACTTGACTGATTATTACGATTAATGCGGGAATAATAGATTGAAAAATTTGTCTGCTTATGAAGTTTTATAAATGTGTTTAATTATGTACTTATTGTTAATGCCTGAAAAATGTATCCAATGAATTTTTATTAAATATTATTGGACTAGGTAAAAATGTAACAGTTGGTATATTTGTAGATATGATAGCTGGCCCTTATAAAGACAAAAACTTGTATTTCATAATCATGAAGTTAACTTTTTGATCGATGATTAATTTTAAATTATTATTTTAAACATTATTTTTATAGAAATGAGGGCTCATCTGTTAAAACAAGGTAGTTATGAGAATGATGATGATTGGAGATTCAGAGAATTAGACAGGCAACACGTAGGGCAGTTAATGCGTAGTCCGCGTGTTCTTTTGATTGTAGTTCTTTTTGATTTCTGACCTTTTTCACGTTATTTAGCATATAGTGGATGAAAACAAAACATTTTTCTGGTCGCTTTTTGTTCAAAAAGTTGCTCCACCGTCCAGCCTGTTATTGAATGTAATTCGTTTGATTTAATTTTGTTTATATCTTCTGGCGACTATCTTTTTCTGTGGTGTCTCAGTATTTATATTAAGCCCCCACGTTTCAAATGCTGAACAGTTTTGATATAAATTCGCGGTTCAAAGAGTGTTAACAGTTTCCTTGAAGACTACTACTTGAGTAACAATGTATCCATAGAAAATGTCAACTAAAAATTGAAAAATCTCTGATTAGTAAAACAAGTGTTCAATATTATTGTTTTTTTTTTTAATATTATTATTTTTTGGTGTTAGAATATACACTTTTTCTCGTATTTTTTTTTTTAAGTAACTCGATTCTCACATGTAATGGAAACAAGACTCAGTGCAAATTTCGAGGTTTTCACAAGTACCTTGTTTACACCTATTATTTATTGTTTCGTTTTCCATGTATCTCTAAGAATCAAGTTTCTCATATTAAATATATAATTGCAGAAAACTTCTAAAATTATTTGTTTAATTTGTGTAAAACTAATTTATTTTACAATTTCGGTTTCTTTTGAGCAGATTTACTTGTTAAGTGTCGCATATAATCCATGCCTCTGGATTATCATGCAAACCTTGATTGGGTTCGCCTATTCTAATGCTGATATTCTCTCGTAGGGAAACCACGCCATAAACCACTAAAAAGTAGGTGATAAATTGAGTTCAGGAATTATTTGCACGATTATATGGTAGAATGAGTGTTAATTTAGTTCGAAACTCATTTAATTTAGTTATTTTTCTCAGCAGTATAAAGTTAGTGACGAATTTTATTTCGTCTAAGACAACATAGAAGAAAAATCATTCAAAAACTAGCCAAGAAAAGTTGCTAAAATTGAGTTGAAAATTTTTGGATGACGGAAGCATTGAATAGGTTATGTGGAAATATCTTATGTTGCAAATATCTAAGTGTGTAGGTATCGATTATCTACACAAAACGAGTTACCACTGTGTATGGTATATGTATATATTTTTAGATCCATACTCCATGCTTGTAAATGTGTCGATAAAAATTTTATAGAGCATGAAAGGTTATTATCCTGCGATCTATAGTTCAGAGCTGCTACAGAGAGCAGAGAGGGATGTTGTTAGTTTGTCGACTGAGAACTTGCCACATTTTTTGTTTTTATTAAGACTATTTCATATGTGTTCATATTTCTGTGAATGTACACATCGTATATGTACCATGGATTTAATGGTACTTCTTAGTTCACGACTCACTGTGTTTGTTGAATTTCTTGTGAAACTTAATACTAATGTTTTCTTTCTTACCTGTTTTCATAATGTGTTAAAAAATTGTTTCCAATACCACAACACTGATGGTACTGATTGTACTGATGGTATAGAAGAGCAACTGTAATATTCTTTTACTATGTATATACATTTTATCATTGGAAATAACGTAATTCATGAGTTAACTAATTTTTCAGAATGTTTTGTAATATCTCGGCTACATACTTCATCACGTAACTATGTCAGCTCAATTAGGTTAATACGGAAACAGTCCTTAGTACCGCAATTAATAATTTTCCGACATCGGTACAATCGAAAAACTTTAAATATTTCTAAAAATGTGAGTTTCCGTCAAATTGCAGTAAAACACGCAATTTTCATCCAAAAAATTATAAATAAAAAAGTGATGGAAAAAGAAGAAAAAAATGTTGTGAGACACAGAAATGTAGCACGTGTTTTTCAGCTAATTTTTTCGCAACTCAAGCCACTAAAACCCCAAAATATATTAGCAAATATGATAAACAGCTCAACAAGGCTGAAGACCGAAGACCGAAAAGCGGCAAGCAATGGAAGAAACTTCAGCACCCCACAAAAGAAGACTGAGCAAAACAGAGCACAGCAGAACAGAACAGAATAGAATAGAATAGAATAGAATTATATTTTTTCCATCTTCAAATATGTAAACATACTTTGCAGGATTAAAGCCGTAATGTCGTTAAGGATAAACTTAGAGAATGAAACCAGCAAAATGGCAACAATAAAAACACCAAAATATTGTTGAACATTAAGACAAAATGAGGTTATGTCGAAAATATATAAGAATTTGTTTTTATATAAAAAATTGCAAAGTAAACAAACATGAGAGGAGGCATGAGGAAGTGTACATACGAGTATATGTAATTATGTATCCATCTAAATATATTTATGTATATAAGAGATATTGCAAAAAGTAAGTTGCAAAAATTGCTGCGAATTTCCTTTGCATCATAAAGCTAATGGTTTATTTTGTCCTTGCAAGCCTTATGGACTGTGCATATGCAGAGAAAGAAAGAAAAAGTTTAACATGATTTTAGGCTGTCAAGCTCTGCTTAGTAGATTGTTTGGCTTAAGCAGATAAAACAGATTGTAATTTAGGTCTGATAACACATTAACGCATAACAAATGAGAGCATAAAATAAACACGTACAAGCACAAAAGCGGCTTTAAATGAAGTGAAATAGAAGGATGAGGATAATAAAGTGAACAAAGTGAATCCATTTTTTCAAGTCCTCAAAATTTAAAAAGCAGTTCTCCTCTGTCATAGGAATTCCTAAATCTGAAAGAAATTAACAGAATATGTTTGGAAGAATCTATGAGAAGAAACAAAGAGTTGATTTTAGTCAACCTTAAAAACTGCAGTTTTGTGATTAGAAGTTTACAATTTTTGTTGTTTTCAGTTTCTACTGTGACTTACTAAGTAATATTAATCAAAATATTATTGTAATTATTGACCGTTGAATATAGAAAACCACAGAATATAGAAAAATCAAAAATAAAAAGAAATTATTATAATTAGTTTTTTATATCACAACTTAAAAAATTTAAATGAGCTTTTTACTAATTCTTCAAAAGTATTTGACTGTCTTTTCTGATTTCTATTTAGTTGTTTTAATTTAGCAGATATATTACCAATACCAGGAATACATTTTAAAATGATTGCACTTTTCCTATTATCTTAAATTTTGGAAATACAAAAGATTACAAAAGGAAACACTGCACTGGTCGCAAATATTTACATATACTTTCTACATAACTCTGTTAAATCCACTTATATTCCATACAATTTTTATCTACCTTATCAGTTCTAATTTATCGATTGTCTAAAAACAAGTTCAGTTCCCTAAAACGGCTCTCCTTAATCTGAATAAAATGTGGGATATTAAGCCAGGAGATTTTTAAAGTATTTAAGCAGCTGAAAGAATTTCAAGGGTTGGCATGCAAAACTCATTTTCATATGTTAGTTAGTCTGTGAAATGTTAAAGAACTTTTTGAACCTTTACCTATAAATCTTACAGGTAGGTGCTATTTTCTGTATTTCAACTGTTTGGGTTATTAAATTCACCTAATTTCAATTCATCAAAATGAACGATGTCATTTTTATATATTTGAAGTTTTCACCAGCGATTTCTAATCCAGCTTTTTTGACTTTCTTCGTAATTTATACCCATTTTATCTCATATCTTAGAGATTTAATCAAATGGCAAAATTTTGTTAGTAAATAAATAGTATTTAAAATGGTTCCGGTTATATTGTCATTTCTTTATGTATGGTATTTAAATGATTAGGTTAATATATATTTTCTGTGACAGTACATCAGCACTAATAGCAATACGTTCACCTTGAGTAAACTCAAAATTAGTGTGGGCTTGCCTGCTACTTCTCGAAGACCTTGCTGAAAGGAACAGGGTTCACTTAATATGGATCCCAGAGCACAGCGGATTTGAGAGAAACGAAAAAGCAGATGATCTAGCCAGAAAAGAGACGGCCTCTTATTATATTGGGCCACAACCATTCTGCGGTTCTTCATGAAGCTTTTTCAAACTTAAAATTAATGAGTGACTGGAAAGAGCAGCTCAGACTAATTGGGATAATAAAATTGCCTGCAGATAAGCTAAAGAATCCATGCCGTGTCGATCAAAAGCCAGAACTAGGGAGCTACTTATGTTGAACAGAAGTGGCATCCAACTTCTCATAGGATTTCTCACTGGGCACTGCGGAGTTAAAAAGCATCTATCGAACCTAGGTATTACTAGAGACGATAGCTGCAGACTATGTTGCGAAGAAGAGGAAACAGCAGAAGAGTATCAGATTTTGATACTTATCCATTGCCTATCCACTTACTACTCGTCTATGGAACTAAAGTGGGTATGTCGCAATAATCCTCAATAATCCTGCAGTGACGTGGTGACATATTCCCAACCCATCTTAAAATTTAAGCCAATTCAGCTGCACTCTTTGGTAGTTATTAGAAGAGCTTTGTAGTTTTTATTTTGATAGCATTTTATTAGCACAGTTTTAATGCAATCCTGAGCATACTATAAGCAAAATAAAATATTTGGCTAATTTATTGAGCATTCTTGCTGACAATTGAAACCCTAACTCTTTTCTTTGGAGTCATATAGGCAGTTGTTTGCGAACTGTCAACAAAATTGGCAACTTGTGCAAATACACTGCCAAAAAATGTGAAAAAAAAGCAACTGAAAGAAAAATGTCAACGAGTTTGTGCTCCTTCTAGTAATGTAGCAACAGTTTCAGCAGCCAAAAACTCTTGCTCCAGGGACCTGAGTAAAAGTTTTACTTTGCATTTTTTTATTGCAGTGCATAAATGAGTTTTCTGGGTGCAATGTATAAACCCAATGACGTTTTAGTAGAAATTGTTGACATCCAGTTTCGTCAAGACAATTTTAAAACAATTTTGCTATAAACTTTATTAAATTCAATATAAAGTGTTTCCAATACAGAACTGCCATCTGGAAGATAAGATCGGTATAGATAGGTCAATCAGTTTTATTGATTTGATCACTTTTTATAATAATATTTGTGAAATAATATTGGTACTTGTAACATTCGTTGTGACTATAAGTCGCTTACAGTATATATAATATTTTTTGTTTTTTTTTTCAATCGTAGTAACATATTTTTAAATTCATTCCGAAAAATGTTATATTCGAAAATAATTAAGTTATGTTTATATAAAATTTGGAGTTGAATTTTTGGTCTACTGAAAGAAAACAAAGACGTCTCTTGGCAAAAAAAAATTTCCAGTATGGTTTCCAAAAAGGATTTAATTAGAGCTGCAATCATTATTCTGGGTTTCTTTGCTATTTTACTCCTACTTTCTTTAGATGTCAAGATAATGCAGGTAAATCGGGTTGGAAGCATGCACCTATATTCTTTATTTAGCATCATATTCTGTTAATAAAAACTAAAATGATGTTTTTAATTTTCAGTTTTCGGTTGAGAAACTTATCCTAAGATTAAAGATTCTTGGACTCGTAACAATGACTTTTTGCTTTGCTGGGATTAGTATGCTAGCCTTGTATATCGCATGGACCATTGAAATCCATAGGCAAATGCAAAATATTGTTTTATTTTTAGATAACCAAATGGAATTAATTGTGCGTTTGCGTGCTATGCTAGAGGAAAGGAACCCTTAGATAATGATGAATTAAATTAATTTAGTAGATGTATATTTCTGAATTGTTCGGGACAATTGCTGCTGTTTGAAGTATTTTATTTGATTAAAAATAATCAAATATATTTAGAAATTACAATTCATATAATTTGTTTTTTTTTTGCATATTAATTAACTGATTAGGTAGATCAATAGGATACAAATCCTATTGAAATCGTTGAGATTCTTTAAAACTATTGTGCTGATAGTTGGTTTGACTCTGTATATTATGGACATTAAGAATATGTAACTCTATACAAGTTATTTGTATGAATTTACAACGTTAGCGAATAATATATTTATTTGAGCAAATATTATATTATCCTCCATATAACATAATATAGTAGAATAAAGCTATCACAATAGGGAATTAAAAAAACAAATATAGTTAGAGGTATAATAATGACGAAGAAAATATCTAAAGTTTAAATAAATATAATATTTATTCAGAGTTCAATGACTATCATTAAGTTTGAATAATTTCTGGATTCTTAAATTTTTAAACCTGCAAAGATCTCATAATTGTATTTATAAGTAACAAGAATATATTTTACCGACAAGAGTTTTATTGTTTTTTTTTTTATTTTTCTACTTTACTATATTTTACAATTATTTAAATTTTACATAGGTATTTTACATCAACACATAGGTCTTTGAAAAAAAATTAACAATTATATTTAAATTTTTCTCTATTTTGATTCATATCAAAGGCATATGAATAAAAGCCTCTTAGTTATTTCTTACTATTCCTATATAACAAACACTACACAAAAAAATGTCATGTCTGGTATAATTTATAACATATATATATATAGAAAAGGAAAAATATTTTACGCCTAACTAGTTCATATCCCAAACTTATATTAATATTCCAAACATTCCAATAATATTTATAAACAATCATTAATATTCCAAAATTTTAGAAGATTGTAGAAAAACATTTCTTTTAATTTTGATAGAATTCTTTTATAAATTTATGATTTTAGCTTAATTTATTTTTATCTGACTTTATTTTATCTTTATTTTCATCTCTTTTTTTCTTATATTTTTTTCTTATTTTCACCATCGCTACACTATGACATATAACAACTACAATCTTGTTTTTGATACATCTTTAATTATTTAATCTTAGTCTTATAGGGTTTCACTAGGTTCTTCCTCAAATACACACTCAATCTGGAAACACTGCTTTGGTAAACAGTAAGTCCACCAAAGTCCAAAGTACTTCATTATGTTTAATAACCTATGTTGCTGTTTAAAAAGAGCTTAAGACACCATGCAAACATTACTGAACCTCTTATCCCATCTGCATTGAGTGGAGCGGCTTTTTTATTGCAGTATTCAGTATTCGGTATTCAGTGGTAGCAGATTAGCAAACATTTGACCACGAAGCGTGAACTTTTTAGATTTGTTTTCTGTTGAAAGCAATTCAGAAAATAAAAACAATTTTATTCAGAAAATGAAAGAAAATTCGCCATAATCAATGCACATGAGAAATACTCGTAGCTCGTAATAACAGTAGATAGATGGTGCCTGCCGCAAGTGCGTGAGATGTTAAAGAAATTAGAGTAGTTGTAATGCACAGCTATAACGGCTCAGATACATTTCTTTGCACTAACCAGCAGGTAACAGTACTAAATAATACATTATATTATAACCAGAGTATAAAGTACCAACGGAGCAGCAGGGTATGCACTAAAATCGCATCACAAATAAGTACATTAACACACAACGATCTTATTTCAACTAGAAGAACCTACAAAGATTAAATGAAACTACAGAACAGATAAAGTATGTAGAAAAAAATCAACGGCTTAAAACTGACCCATTGAAATCTAAAAACAAAGAAGAACAGACATAAAGGTAGAAACTTTAAAAGGCCTGTCTTATAAGGGACGGACAGACAAGTTAATATGCTGAATGGCACTCCAAAGCATTCCGGGTCTGTGCAATTGGTATGCGTTCAACTTGTTTGATTTCTTTTCGCAATAAAAGTTTATATAGATTCATTAATTTATATTTATTTGTATATTTGTATATAGTTTCATTTATGAATAAAAGTTTTAGTAAGAAAGCCTAGTAATGTTGGTGGGCAATTTTTTGTGAAACAACAAAATAAGGCAAAGTTTCATGTTCTTAAGGTGAAGTAGTAGAGCTCTTTCACAATATCTTTCAATGGAGAAGTTGGGTACTTTAACCGTATCAGCCTTTCAAAACATGATTCTGCAGGTGTTACCATAGACGTGTAAATAAGCCTTTGTTAAATGTAGAAATTGTAGTTTATATGTCAGACTAAATCCAAGCATTGATTTTGTCACTTCAATTTCAATCCTAAATTACTTCGGATTCGGATCCAGTCTACGTAAACAGGCCTTTTAAGATCATGAATTTTTGAATTAGATGGCGATTAAGTTTAAGATTGTATTTCTCTATTTTCCCAGTTATAGTTATATTGTCGGTAACTGCAAAACGATTGAGCTTAGCAGACTGACTTTTGGAACATAAACGTAAAGTCCGAAAAAATATATACTGATATACTTCAGTAGCTCTCAGCTTATTTCATCTAATACCAATTTTAAAATTTTTTAATATTTAAATGCCATTTTTAAGGAAAAATATTTATTATTTAATTTAAAAACTTCAAAAATACCGAAAATATTGTTTTAATAAATAATGAACATAAACTTTAAAAATACAAAAAGAAATTTCATTTGGTGCCAAAGTCAACACTTGGTATGATACCCCTTCTTTTTTTTCACTTCGTCAAGTCTCTTTATCACTTACTTAAATGTCTTTGGCAGTAAACCTATAAGTTTTTGTGATGTTTCTGGAGCAATCTGTAGATTATAGGTGGTTAACATGTGGTTACTACATACTCTGATCTAAAAAAGTGCTCTAATTAAATACTGTGATGCTAATTGAAATCATAATTTTTAGTACACATTAATAATACTATATAACAGAATTAGTAAGTATGGAAAAGTGTAGATTTGTACATTTTTATATATCAGTTAGTCAAATATTGTCTTCAACTCCCCTTTCTAGCGCTAAAATACGCTTGGTGAACTTATTTGATATTATGTATTTAATGCATATACCTATTTAAGTAAGTAAATATTTATTTACATAACTGTATAAAAGTGTAAGGAAGATGGTCTAGTAATGTTAGTAGAGAATACATATTAGTATTATCTATACATATTAGATTTTCAAAAGTAATAAAAAGAAACAGAATCGATTCTACGGATGCTCTTATTGATGTGTACATATATCTATATTATATGCCAACATAACAATTTCTGTAAAAATAAAGAACTTCAATCAAAGCAAATGCAAGGGGAGTGAAATCAGCCATGCTCTATGTAAGCGTGCGTTTCCAGAACTCTGATACCACCGACGTTAGGATTTGGTTTGTTAATGCTCACATCAAAATAAATCATGGACAATATCATGATTATTATAATTGCAATATCATCATCATCGTCATCATATTCATGAGTATTATTTTCTTCCTCGACATATTTTTGTTGTTTCGCTGACTGCAGCTGCAGCTGCAACTGCAACATCAAGAGCGAAACCATCTCCATAAAAGCATTGAAGGCAACGACTATCAGTGGTATGAATACATCGCTGGCAGTCGCGCCACTGAAATATATTTTATGGAATTAAATAAATGCCATATTGACCCAAATCACCCATTTCTATCTTTGGACTCAATTTTGTTTTAATATTGATTTCATTTAAAAAAAAGAATAAATTAAAATCGTAAATGCGATTCCCTTGGCAATGCAACTAAAAGTTTATTTTTATTAAGTTTGTTAAAAAATAAATGATTTAATCCATTTGCCTATATAACAACACCCTTCATACAATTGTAAGTAACAGGTATGTACATGTCAGTATTGACAGGCAGTAATGGACCATATAATACGTATGTATATATTCTTGATAAGCATCACGCTACGAATCGGTTCAGTCATCTTCCTTGTTCTTTGCATCCGTTTGTCTGTATGTTTGTTGAATGGAATGGAAGCCAGAAAGAAAGTTGTCATGGAATACAAACAGTTGCGGTGTGATTAGGTACAGTTAGAGTGACGGACTTATGTACTAAAACCTGGAGTTGAGTTGATTTCGCATTATTCTGTTTTGGATAAACGTTGTTCGGATGAACGCTCATGTTCCACAACTGAAGGAACATCAAAAAGAGAAATAATCGAAGCAAAGTGCGCACGGGTGATCCATTCATTTATTTTAGAGGAAATCAACCTAATAAGTCTTTATAATAAGCATGGTTAAGTTCCTTATTTGAAAGGATACAGCTTGTCATGTCAAGAAAGGTGCTCCAAAAACTCTGATCTGCTGCTGGTGAAAGTGAAGTTGATATATGAGTAGGAATGAAAGTGATTGAATCTAAGAGGTATTTAAAGATATGTGGTTATTGGTACAAGCATGTATCTACTATAACATTTACAGATTAATTGTTTAGTTAATTCTGGTGGTCTTATTATTTTCTTCTGATTTTGTTGGACATTTTGTTGGAGTGTATTGACTTAATACGATAGCATTCTGAAATAGGTAGAAATTGTTTACTCGTATTCATTGCCCTAAGCTTGAGTGACATATAAGTTTTTATAACCATTTGAGAACTTTGTAATTTGTGAGCTCTGACACAGTGCTCCATGTCCATATTCCAAAAGTCGCATCTTTAGAAAATACTAAATATGAGTAAAGATACCCTAGAGGTATAGTCTGTTTTCGTGAATAGGTTTCTGAGATCGAAATAAGAGTACAAACCACAAAAATTTGAAGTTAGTGAAATTCTTTCTTGCATGTAGAATACAGTAAAGAAGGTTTTTTGATTTCTAATTTAATTTTGTGCTTTTCTTAGTGCCAATAACGAGTAATGGTGTGGATTTGGGACTGTGATTGTGAAAACGATTACAAAATTGCAAAAATATGCAACAGTATATTAGTGCATCGACCAAAGGACCTTAAAGACCAATGTTATTATTTCCTATTTAATGGGTTTTATAATTATCGGACTTA